GGGATGTGCTATTGGGCATACGTTTGTTGTAGAAGCGGACAAAATAGGGGTTTCTCAATTTTTTGGTTTTTGAACTTTAAAACTTCGAGGTCGAAATGCAACGTATTTTGCTGTAAACACACTTGAAGCTGAAAATATGCCGATCACAAAATTCCCACAATTCCTGTCGGTCGGTGTTTGGATGTTTTCCGATAGAAATTCCAAAAATATGAATGATAACCGTATCAAATTGTTGTATTTTTCAGGTTCTAAGAGATACCACATCACAAATTCTCATGATACTTGGTACATTGTTTGCTGTGCTGAATGGCTTCGTTCCGTCCTTTTCAATGCTTATCTATGGGAGTCTCACYGACGAACTAAACAAATCAGACTTCATTTGTACGCCAATCAATTTCCAAGTCAATATCACAGATTCAACTGCCACAAAWGAGATAGTAAGGATTGATTATCTAACTCTGTTGGGTATCAATAGTTCGGGTATTGTGCAGGTACTACTGAACGGGACTATCGTAGATTTYAAGGTGGCTGGTCAGAATATYTTATTGCTGAAGAATKTAAGTGTTCTGGAGCGTCASCTTGACCAACGTAACGATTTTAAAAGTTTAACAAAGCAARGGGAGGCAATTGTACAACAAAAACCTGTTACAAGAAGCAAGTCSAAGTTTAGTGCYCCCTTAATCGAACAATCAAATCACAACAAAGYGGCCGAGGGTTGGTTTAAGTACGAGACAAAACTGGAAAACATAAAGAATGAAAAGAAAACACAACTCACTAATAGCCAAAATAATGATAAAAGAACTGCARGAACTCTGCCTACTCACAAAGATGATATAAAAGACACTGGATATGAAGCAAAAGTAGTGAATCAAACTGATCGTTCAAAATGGGAGACAGTACATAGAAAAGAACCGAATAATGAACGAGACGCTTATGAAGCACATATAGAAAAATTAAAAGATTTGGCTTCCAAACAAGGTAAAGAAGCTGATATCGAGGRCAATACATATGACACTAACATAGAAAATCGATCTTATGGAAGCAAACAGAAGATAAGCAACATGAAAGCAACTTTCGTACAATATACTAACACCTTTTACAAAGAAACGATTGAGAAAAGAAATAACAAAATGAATGGAATGCAGAAAGCAAAACCTGTCGTCAAAAATGATAATGATGATGATGATGATGATGATGACAAAGATCATCTCGAAACAAAAACTGAATCGAAAAACGATGACTATTCACATAGTAATACTGGAGAACAGTTTGAGGAAGGTTTATGGGAAGTAATATACATAGGAAAGCTGAACAAAAGAAACAGCATTATCCGAAAAAAAGAGTTTCAAAAAATCAATAAAGAATACCTACGCAAAAAGGGTAGAGATAGTAGCACAAGAAATGATTCCAACAATAGCAAAATGAATAGGGTCGAMCAAAACAGTGCAGTCACAGAAGGAGATTACGCTACSGAGCTATTACCATTACACTCAATGGGTCTGCACAAAACCATTGTTCAAAAAGATTTRTATATGTCCCGCAATCCCGTCTTCACCGTTACAGTTCCTACCAGAAAAGTTAACCTATTGAAAACCAACGCAAAACAGAATCGTTTGAAATCTCATGTCATGCAGCATAAAGTATTCAACTCCTCAAATATTAACCAACCAACACACG